ATATTCTTGCTTCAACGGCGCACAACGTTCTTCATGAGAGGTCAACATGAAATAAGGAGCCGTCTATGACGAAGCTCAAAACACACGGCGTAGTCATGAAGGAGGATGGACTGGCCCTGTCTTCATGAAGTACACAGGGAGCGTTATAATGAATACCGGAGTGTGGGGTTACCCCGAAGAAAAGCGCACCTGTAAGGGCCTGGCCATTTTTGGGGCGTGTTCGTGAGAGAAACTCTAAAATACAATTAGCGCCAGCAAATAAGAACGTATGGAAGACGCGCCAATGGTGCTTTCTCTCTTACGTCCTTGTTTGCTGGTGCTGAACATGTTTTCGTGTTCAGTAAGGGCCGCTTCTGTTCATTCAACTCAGCGCGAAGCTGGCTGTGCCGATGCCTGTAGAACGTGTTTTTATTTATGCCTCGCAGGCTTAACGTTTACGCAGTTTCCTAGCTGTTGGAGTTACAACTCGAGTAATCTTTTAAGTGAAGCTTTTGTAGCCTATACAGATTTCAGTGGTAGTCCCACCGCGGTAGTCTAGTGGCTAAGGTACTCGGCTGCTGATCCGCAGATCGCGGGATCGAATCCCGGCTGCGGCGGCTGCATCTCCGATGGAGGCGGAAATGTTGTAGGCCCGTGTGCTCATATTTGGGTGCACGTTAAAGAACCCCAGGTGGTCGAAACTTCCGGAGCCCTTCACTACGGCGTCTCTCATAATCATATGGTGGTTTTGGGACGTCAAACCCCACATATCAATCAATCTCAGTGGTGACGTATAGTACGTGAAAACACCGGCGCCAGAGAAACTTACAGAAATGCGGCCCTCAAAGGTGCGCCGCTGACATGCGTGAGTACAAGCGCCGTTTTCCAATAATTGACCCTCTATCGATCTTGGGCTCATCGATCATCCACCTGGCTACGTGATCTTTCATCGACGTCACTCGTAATTCGACTTTGCCACATGTCAGTGTCGCTTGGACGACCTTTGTTGCTGCCCGTAGCAGCTGAAGTGTTCCACCACCAAGCAAATGGATCAAGGCACGGTGGTTGGGGCGATCGACTGCTGGCTCGAAGTTCGCAGGATGGAATCCCGGCGACGGCAGCCGTATTTACGCAGCATGAGAGGCTCGTGTGCTTAACTTTGGGCGTACGTTAAAGAACACCGGATGATCAAGATCTCCGAAGTCCTCCACCGCGGCGTCCTTCCTAATCATATCGTAGCTCTGGGACCTAAAACTCCAATATTTACTGTTACGCGAAGTAATGTTCTATCTCTGGAAGGAAGAAAAGGAAAAGTCAGAAAAGAGAATAAAGGAAGGAAGGACGCAAAGCTTCACTCGTTTTTTAGTTTGTTTTTTTTATGAATTCGAGTTTTTGTGAATTAACGAAGACTGCACATGTACACCAGACTGCCTTACACGATACGCTTGTTCTATAGAACCTTTTGACCATACTCAATTGATTCTCTGAAACAATTGCGCTTTGTGAAATGTGCTTTAGGGCGCTGACGCATTGTAAGCACTGGTCACGTTGTAAGGTATACCGTGCCGTCGAAAAGGTTCAACCACGCAGCTTTGGTCATACGTAATCACCGAAGCAACTGTACAAACGATTACATCCGCATTTCATTACCCATGTGCATGTGCAAGTGCCGCTGCTTAGCATATCTGTTCCTCGCGTGCCTCACCCATGAACGACCTCGCGTGAAACAGTAGGGTTCACCCTTCAACGGCGTTGTGCGACTGTGCCGTTATTCGCCAGTGCGTCATCTTGGTGAAGCGCTGTGTGTCATGACCATCGCTTCCTGTACCTGTGCCTTCATACATTGTCATAAGCGTAGCGGATTTAGATACACTAATGTACTATCAGCGTCAAATGAAACCCAAACAGCGGCAACCCTTCGCGATAGTTTAGTGCATGCCGTCCACTTATCACTATACGAACAGGCGCGCATATGTGCGCAAAGCTGCTGAACAGGATGCGCGCGTCTGTCAATGGTGATAACTGGACGGCACGCACTATACTATCGCAAATACTTGACGCTGTTCGGGTTTCATTTGACGCTGATAGTACATACTCCGAGACGCTTGCAAGCGCAGCATAACTCACGAAGATTCCAACTTACATGATAGCTAACGAATTTGTTTGAAGGATTCAATAGGCTTTCCAAGCCATCTACGATGAAGATGCTCGCGTAGGCTGCTCTGGTGAAATCGTGAATGACAAGAGGTAAACTGCAAAAAAAAAAAAAAGTGCGAGCATTTCTTCCACTTTTTCGTCACATTGAGGGTAGCGTGAAGGCTCGCTTTGGTCTGCGGTAAACAGGTCGAAACATCGGCAGCATTGTCTGCGCATCATGGCCTTCACTGCTTTCAGCCGTTATACCGAACTTTAGGAAATTAACTAACTAACTGACTAACTAACAATTGAATTAACTAAACTAACCAACTAAATGAATAAATAACGCTCTCTGTCAGTACTTGAATATATACGAGTTCGTACAGCTCTTTTACATGCGGCTGATTCAGTGATATTTCACTCATTCTCATCAAGAATGCACTTAGCGTATAGTGTTGAAGAAGCAGGCGTGCAAAAATACAGACGTCATCTACACAAGCGATTAGTTACAAAAAATAATGTCTAGCTTATGTCGTGCTAACAGATCCACATCATATCTCTAAACATGCTCTCTCTCTCTCTCTCTCTCTCTCTTTCTCTTTCTCTCAATCTATCTATCTATCTATCTATCTATCTATCTATCTGTCTATCTATCTGTCTATCTATCTATCTATCTATCTATCTATCTATCTATCTCTCGTGTGGCAAGTGTTGTGCCGCATTATTTCGCCCCTATAACAAATTAGTCAGGACAGTACATTTTCAGCAAGTGCACGCACACTTAGCGTTGGCGCGATGACGTTCAGGCACAGGTCAAGAGCGTCCCGGTTACGACCCCGACCTCTCTCGCGCGCTGCTCGCAAGGAGGCCGCATTCCGCCCCAAATGCTATACAAGCGCAGCATAAATAGCAACGGTAAGCGGTGCTTAGCGATAGACGCGAACTTTGCGGGAAGCCTCGTTGTTGCGTCGCCGGGTGCAGTTGCGGCTCAAGTTAGCTTGTTCGCAGTATGTAGTAATACACACAACTTTAGCATCCGTGACCATTTTCGGTTTCAAAACAATTAAGTAAACAGGAAGCTTCGCCCGTCCTGTCGTATTGTTCTTGTGAATTCTGTTCTTTGCGCCCAAAGTTATCGTTCACTACTGGCGCACGTGAGTGCATTTATGATGCTAAAGATGTCTCCACATTGCGAATGGATTACTGGCATCAAAGCCTACGTCGGTGGCACGTTACCTGTACAAGAAGAAATTTAAGCCATTATAAAGGAGATGAGTGAGTTGAATTGAGATCATTTACTCGTGCCAGCATATATACCGTTCTCGCATGAGTGGTGACAGCAGCAAAAAAGTTACCCTGTTCTTAAAGGCTGCGTTAAAATATTATGTAAAAATAATCATGTATTATACAGTCAACGTATTATTGTCTATTTCCTTCTGGACAAATCGCAATCTTTTTTTTTTCATTTGAGATAACAACACATCTAAAGCAACAGGAATAAGAGTAAGCAATAAAAATACTATTTCACCGTTACACGCTATGATGATGGTAATGAATGCATTTTACTGATTTCATGTAAACGCGCACTAACTACACTAAGATGCCTCAAGGGTGCTGTGCTACTTGCGAAGATTATCTATTTAACATTCCGGGACAACTTTAGCAGTCAATGCGCAAAAAAATTCGTAGTAATATTTCGAATTTTGGTTAATTTACGTGCCAAATGTACTAGCCGACACAGATTAGATGGGAAACTTCTCGTCATTTCCTTCTACGCGCGTTTTTTTTTTTTTCCTTAATGACCTGAACTGAAACACACCAGATTTTTTTTTATTTCTCTTATTTGCTTTCCACTTCAACCTATTTCGGACACGCTAAGTACATCGTCACTTTTGGAAATAAAAAGGGGCCACACTACGCGCGAAGATTTGACCGAAGTTTGTTCCTTAAACACGTGTAAAAAAAATTGACGCCACCCAAATGACTGGCGCTTATACGTTATGAAGAGCGAACCCATATTGAGAACTGAAGCTCAAATGTACACGGGAAGCTTTCGAGAGAGACCTAATTTCCTTGTGAACAGTTCTTAAAGCTTCAAACGACATTGGTATACCCTCTTCGGATGCCATAAGAATCTATCTGTCAACTCCTTATGCAAACCGGTCCATCCCTCAACAACGCGCTGTAAAAGGAGCCAGCAGATTTAACTTCCACTAGGCGAAACATAGTTGAAGCACATAGCGCTTCGGCTATCCTTCATCGGCAATTTTTTTTAGTTACCCCATTCATGTAGCAGTAGTAGGTTCCCCTGTCAGCTTCTCCAAAAATGTTGGGACCTCCTACAGTGTACATGTATGCTAACCATGTAACTCAATTCAATAAACTTGACTTGTCCTGGTTAGTGACATACGTGCGCAGGCTATTGATTTGAGAGAGACGTGGGAAGGCTGAAGCCGCGCTGAACACCGTAATGGTGCCGATTGTTTTTTCAACTTACGTTATTCAAAATAAGCAATCTCGCTGATCGGTCGCCCGTCCTGATAGCCTGAAATGTACGGCATACCGGTATCGATTCCAAAGCGTCATCACGGCCCAATGCGCGCGAACCATTTGTTATCGAGGAAATATTGTAGTGACTAATGCCTCCGATGCATGCCTTTCTTAGTCCGTGTTTAACCGTAGGCCACCTAATTATTGCGTCTTTTAAATTGCTTCGGCACGTGTTCGAATGTTCCTGTCGTATAAGGACGCTCTGGGGGCGCTGCAATTCTCGGTATACTGTCTTGTCGCTTGCCTCCTCGAGCAGTTTCTCGGGCGGAAACTTCACCGCACTCACGCGCGTGCAAGCGGACTTGACGCAGCAAGGGCATCTTCCTTTCTCGCAGCAGCAGCGGCGGTGGCACCATGTGGCTCTATGTGCTTCTCTCGCTAGGCCTGCTGGCCCCCGCACTGGCAGCAAATGAGGAGGCTACCACCGAGGAGACCCCCGAGAAGAGACTACGTACGTTTCTTTGAGCCTTTACTTTGTTTTCAGAGAACGTGCTTTCTTTTTTTTTTTTTTGGCGGGGGGGGGGGGGGCACTCACGCACGAAGCAGCGCAGTGTTCAACGCGATGACGTGTGGTGACGATTGTTTCTATGCAGAGACTGCGACCAGCCAGCATGAGTCATAAACTCTCTTAGGCGAGTCAAGAACTTGTTCACACGATGCGTAATCATCCTAAAGACGTTAGTCAATTAAGCGATGAGAGTGTGTATATATAAATGGAGTAAAAATTGGGGGACCCTCAAGCGTGGCATCTAAATAGTTGGACGCGATAGCGATCTCTCAGTGCAACTGCCTCTTCCACCTCCCACCCCCACAAACGCGCCTGCACCGCAAGGTACCAGTTTAAAAACCAGGGATGACTAACAATGTATGACTAACAATGTTTTTTTTTTCATACCACTCCTTGAGCTTTCGTAAGTTTCCCTAAGATTCCGTTAGGTTCCTAGGAAGTATAGAAGGTTTGAATGTGCAGGAAGTGTGCAACTGATGTTAGCAAATGCGCGTTTTCTTTGAACTGGGTGGACGGATATTTAAGCTGGTTGAACGGATACTTAGACGCCGCTCTCTCGTCGTGGTGACAGGCATCCTTTTACCCTCCTCGCCACGGGGGGTGCGCCAATGTTCTCGTAGGACGTTCTCGTGCAGCGCCTCCTGTCTCTCCCCCTTGGCGTCGTCCCTGACGCTAGAGTGTCCCTTACTCATCATCAAGTACAGAACTTCAGTACCATTTCTATTGTCGCGTAAGCCCAGTGTCTACCACTCTACATTGCAACAGCACCGTTGCCTTCCAGGACTGTGTGCCTGACACAGTCGTGGTCTTATCCTCGCAGTGGTGTTCCCGCCCAACGAGCTGACGTCTCCCGGTGGCTACTGCCAGTCGCCATTGGGCGTGACAGGCCTCTGCATACCGTACCAGGAGTGTCGCTTCCTGTTCGACGATGAGTTCCTGGCGCGCAGGTCGCTGTGCGGCTTCGTCCGGCGGCAGTCGCTCGTCTGTTGCCCCCAGAACGGTGGTGGCGGAGGTGGAGGCTTCGGCGGAGGCTTCGGTGGTGGCTTCGGAGGAAACGGATTCGGAAACGGATTCGGCAACTTTTTCCCGCAGCAGGTATACATTTCCACGGGAAACGCACGTGATTTCTCTTATCTCGGGCGGTTGTTCGTTTATTCATTGAATCATTTACCCACTCGCTCGCCATGTTTGGCTGAATTCCGCCATTGAAGGGGCATAAAAATACGCGCGCATTTAAGGTACTTACATCAAGTACTCACCACCGTGTTTACAGTACAGACATACGCACGCCATATTTACAGTACGCGCGCCTTCTCCCAAGCCTCCCAGGTCGACACACTTTATTGTGTGCGTGCGCCAGAGGCACATGCTACGCTGCCACAAGAAGCGTCAGCAGGAACGAAGCATTGCATGCACTAACAACACAGCGGCTCGTTGGCTGCCATTGTGGAAAAACTCCCTCGGGTTGTTTTATTTCATCCTCGTTCACTCTATCGCTGACGACGACTACGGTGATGCCGCTCAACGGGGCAACCGGCGTCAAAGAGCAGCGGTCTAAAATGCCCAAGTCAAACTCTTAACGAATTCGCCTTGTGTAGTCATTTAGTGCTTCTCATTCTTACGTTGTCAGTAAAGGCCAGTTTCAATACATACATCAAGCGTTATAGCAGCTTAAAACAGGCAGACATAGTTTGTATTCACTACACGTGATCTGATCGCGATGCAGTTGTTTGAGTTATGTAGCTTCCTTCTTCTGCAGTGTCTGATAATCAGGGCACTACATGAAAAACAAGCATGTTTATGCAGCCCGTGTACTGTAATTCATGGCTTTCCTTAAAGCGCCACCAAATAAAAAACTATTTTCCTTGTATCAGTAAGTTACTACTTCAGAACAGCAAGAACACCACGCTGCCTGCGTGTAGACGCTTCGTAAGCGAAAAAAAAAACGCGCAAAAAGAAAATGTGGGCTATGAAGCCATCTTGAAGTTGATGATTGAAGTTGTCATTGATATTGCCAGCGTCTGCTAGGTTCTACGTACTTAGCAATTGGTACAAAATTAAATAAATTGCGCTTTGATGAAGCCAGGCACATAACATGCCAAGTTTTAAGAAACTTCAAGTAAGTCAATGTAACCGAAACACGAAAAAAAGAAAAGATGATTGAAATCAGTAACGTCAACTTCAGAGAGTTCGGCGGGAAATTTAAAGGTTATACTTTTGATATTTATTTTTAATCTATTTATAAATCTATGACGGGGAAATTAACAAAACTGAAGTCCTCAGAGGGTATGGTGTCAGTATGAACTAATTTGTTGCATCCCTGTCCGTTTGAAAAGACAGCGCGCATCTGACTGCGACGTTTGTACGGCATGCAGATACCGACATTCCCGGGACTGCCTCGGCCGCTTCAACCCAGTAGGCCACCCTTCTTTCCTGGAGGGGGTGGAGGTGGCCGGCCAGGAGGAGGAGGTGGCCGGCCAGGAGGTGGAATCAGACGGCCAGGAGGAGGCGGAGGTCGTCTACCCTACACCGGCCAACGACAGCCCGCCACGGAGCGACCGCGGCCACAGGATCTTTGGGGCACCAAGGGTGCGTACTCTAGCCTGAGTACTGGAGAGTTTAGCGTGGCCGCGTAACGTGAGACCCTTTACGAAATACCGAAACACTGAGCCAAGCTAGACGTGCGGATTGGATTCGACTTATGGCCTCACCCTTTGTAGCGGGCCGGCATCATCCAACGTCCTGGCCATGATTAAGAATATAAAACAAATGTACTCACACTGGAGCCGTCACACACATCAACAATGTCTATGCACGTGTATCGCCCGTCAATGAGCGCGCGTTATGGCCCACCATCCATTGAATCGTTTCATGGGAGCACATGTAGCGCTAACTGGTGGCCTTGAGCTTAGCAAAAGCTTTTAGCTTAGCTGCTGGCACAAAGCATGCCTGCAGCGACGTAATCATTTGCGAGTGTTTTCTTTTTTTTTTTTTCAATAAAAAAGAAAAGCGTGTTCTGAAACACCAGATTGCTTCAGTAGCTACAGTAGCATGAGGCACCTTGTGACGTTGTTTTCGGCAGTTTTTGTGTCCCGCAAATGTCGTTGTTCGTGTTTTTTAACTCACCTTAGCAACCAGCGTACTAAGTTGCTTTATGATACAAACAGTTGAGGGTCCTCTTTTCGTCATGTATATAGACTAAGGAAAAGGCAAAAAATACAAAAATAAATAAGCGTCATTACTGAAGTAGTGTAACCGCCAGCCTGGCAATGACAGCCAGCAAAGAGGGCTTGGAATATACGCTCATGATACGTCTCATTTTTTTGTTTTATTTTATTTTTATCATAAGTTCTGAATCGTTCTCATTGTCGATTAACGGAAATAAGCAAATTTTGAACAATAAATCAATACTGAAAACACGAAAATGAGGACACAGCTTTGCATCACCATGACATCACACTATTCTGGTAAACATCTGTCTGTAGTAGATGCTGCAGGAAACAATCTCCCAGCCCATAATTTCTATGTCAACGAACTTTTAATATAAGGCGCTGGCCATTTTATATTTCATTACATCCACTGTTTGAATGCAGCAGATGATTGTTTAATCGGACGAAACCCGCTATTTGTATGCGGTGACCTGCCGGTGGCGTTTCTAGGGGTTGTCACACCAGGCCAGCCCCCCCTCCTCCGAAATTTTTGTTCGACTTAAAATATAAAGCACGAAATGACATACGACGACATCTGCGTGTTCGGCCCTCACTTGAAGTTAAAACAGACCACCACCTTTCCTACCCGAGAAAAATTTCTCCCGTGGCCCTGGTTTTTGCGACCACGTATTTGCATGTTCCACTTCTTTTTTTCTTTCTTCCAGAAGTCAATGTTACGTCGCTTTTAATCCAGAGATCCATAAAGGCTTGAACAAGACGGCGCTTTGTTTTTCATGCATGTCGCCAACTCACTGAACAACTTCCTCATGCGAGCAAATAAGAAACGAACGCGCGGGGAAAGAACTGACGCATTACGAGCCACGCCGGAAAGTTTTCGTCCTTGGAATGTCGTAGAAACACGACCGCTCGATGCGTAACGTAATGGCGGCGCGGCTACACATCTCGCGTGCATATTAGTGACTGCGTGGTTGTGCCAACAGGTGCGGCGCTGCACGCCTTTAACTATCAAACGTGTGACAAACTTTTACAAATGGTGTTCGTATATCCCCTCCAGGAGCAAATTATGATGGTCTATCTACGAATGTTTCACATTCACATACCATAATTCCGAAGCACTCAATATTCCAAAAGAGAAAATCAAGTAATGAGTTGTGTTCCGTCAGTTTAAGTAGTTGTAGTTAGCCCTGAATTATTTATTTATTCTGCGATCAATCATATTGATTTCAAAATAAAAATGAAGTTATTGGTGACGAATCTGTGCTCAACTGTTTTCTAGTTGTATTCATGTCGAGTAAGAAAAACAATGTTTTTGACGCTGGTCCTGGAACGCGCCACATCAACCGACCCGTTCAACATCGGAGTGACTCCACCAATGTTATCTGCTACAGCTACATGCCGTACACTGAGATTAAGTCAGGACATACTGATTACGCTAATGGTTTATTTCGTACAATGATTGTATCTTGCTGTTTATCGGCTCCACAGTGACACAACAAGCATAAACGAGTTGCATACACAAAACATAGCCACCGCCGCCGCAGGAGATTTTCGTTGCTCAATGGTGACCCCCCCTGGTTTCGCTCTTACATAACGAAGCGACGAACCGCAATAGTTATTTGCTTGCCATAACCGCAGAAGAGATACATTAAAACTCATTTCGACGCACACAAGAAACCATCTGCGCCCAGCTTTGCGACAGGATTGTTAAAGTAGACACAAATTTTGAACATTTTCGAGTTGTTGCTACAAACAAAATCGCGCCATATCTACGGAATGAATGATTATATGCGGGCGAAGCTCGAGAGGGAGGTATCATAGGTAAACAGTAGCTCTCCCGTGAAAAGTTAGCCCATAACGCCATTCATAAAGACGTAAGACTGTGCGTACATAATTCAAATCAACTTTTAATTTGTTCTTGTTCGTTTGCTGTTTCGTATCTTCATTTGTTTGTTTTATTTCTTCGTTGTCATGGCGGCTGGATTGCGATATCCCTTCATTATTAAGGTTTTTATTTTATAGGCCGTGAAATGAAGCGAGAGAGGTTCTTGTACTGGCTGCAGTAGGAGGTTTGCAAACACTAAGTCTATGCATGTCCCTTGGATCGCGATAGGTTACATAAGGATACATATGAGTGCGCATTTGGAAAGCATGTGCTGCACGATGCACTCATTGGCAATGAGGTCTGTCTGTATCTCTGTCCGCCCGTATGTACGTCCGTTAGAAGTAAGCAGCGTTGTCTCCACCACTCCACATTGAAAAATCTGTTCTTTTGCACCTTCATGATGTTGGGGCGAGCGATTCCACCTTATAATAATATTAATTGTTGAGATTGAGCGTCCTGAAATTACGATACGAGGGACGCCATTGTGGAGAGGTCCGGAAGTTCTGACCCCGTTGAGCTCTTTAACGTGCGTCCTAATTGAAGCGTAGACACCTCAAGTACTTTCACGCGCCCCACCGAAAATGCGGCCGCCGTGGCCGGGATTCGATCTCGCGACCTTCGGATCAGCAGTCGTGCACGACACGTGAGGTGTACGAAGCCTTCATAGCTTCCGACACCACAGAATGCGCAAAACCTCAGATGACCAATACAATCGACTGAGCAGAAAAGCAAGATGGCTCTCGTCTTCAAGTAGTCATAGGAGAAAAGCACTGAGGCAGGCGATTGACTTTTTTTTTTCAATTTTGTGTGTTGCTTTGCAGGAGTTACGACTTTAAAGGTACTCTCAAACCTCATTATAACAGTACCCACCAGCCATTAAAATACTTCTTTATATCCTGAAATTCGTTTTAAACATATATTTGTAGCACTGTATCTACGACAGAGCTATTCTACAATTACTTCGTTATAACCAATATTTTTTTATATCCGGGTTCGTTTTATCGAGGATTGAATGTAGTAGGACCATTTAGTCCAACTGTTCGTGATATCGGAATAGCAAGTACCTTAAATCGGCCTTAAAACACATTATTATGGCTAGAGAACAATAAGGACAGATAGCAGGCCCACTGGATTCCCCCTTCACCTAATACGTTGTTGTCCACGCCCGCACACACACGCACAATGACGGTATTGCCGAAGCACGTTCATCGAACGGAGAGTGTATAAGTGATTGTCATCTAGAAGACTGCAATGAGTTGAAGCTAAATTAGAACTAGAAAAACAAATAGTCAACCACAACATAAAAGTACCCACACGAGCGTGTCAATCAACATTGCCTTGTCTCGGTCGTAACCGTTGATAACTGTTTCTAGCGTGAAGAGGTTCTGTAAAGCTTTTTGAAGTTGCTGTTTGGTGATGTAACGTGAACGTGAAGCGCTCCAGATACAGATGTCATCGGCGTGAATCGTGATATGTACTCCTCGAGGCAGTGTCCTTGTTATGTGAATCAGGGTAAAGTTGAAAAGGGGCGGGCTGAGCACGGCACACTGGGGTACACCATGGGCACACTGGGTACACCATGGGTACATCATGGGCATGCGCCCTGAGGCATGCGCATGCCCCGAGGTACAGCGTGAGAGCCCTACGATCACTCGTCTCGTGTCAGTGATTGAGCGAATTATGTTTTCTTTGCAGATTGTGGCGTAGCTAGCAGTGCGTTGGTCCGAATCGTCGGAGGCAGGGAGTCCAACCTCGGAGCCTGGCCCTGGATTGTAAGTGCTCCTGACCTCAGAAACTGTGCCTGTCGATTTCTCAAAACAGACTCGCTGTGGTGCGTAGATTTATGGTTCTGTTCAAGAGTACGAGCGATGTAGCAGTTGCAATGACATTGAATCGAGGTCAACCGCATACCGTTGTCGGTACAGCCAAATATGTTAAATTCGTTCAGCTTTTGCACGAATGCCATCCACAAAACGTTTTCTTTTAGTGAACTGTGACCGCTGAGATGTGTACTTGAACCATTTCATTTTTCTGCAGTTACTTGAGTGCTTGATTTAACAACAAAAAAGCAATTGAGAGGAATTCATTAGTGCGCCATACTTTCAGCAACAACAAAAATAAAGGGAAAAAATGAAGTACTCTGTCGTCGCCATGTAATAATTGTTTAGTTTTAACGTCCCAAAACCACGGTACGATTATGAGGGACGCCATCGTGGAGGGCACCGGAAATTTCGACCACCTGGGGGATTCTTAGCGCGCACCTGAATCTAAGCACACGGGCCTCAAGCATTCTCACCACCATCGGAAGTGTGGCCGCCGCGGCAGGGATTCGATCCCGTGACCTGCAGGTCAACAGTGGAGCATGCCGTCGCAATCTAAATTCTTAAGTAAAACTGATGGGCGCATTTCCGATGGAGGCGGAAATGTTGTAGGCCCGTGTACTCAGATTTGGGTAAACGTTAAAGAACCCCAGGTGGTCTAAATTTCCGGAGCCCTCCACTACGGCGTCTCTCATAATCATAGAGTGGTTTTGGGACGTTAAACCCCACATATCAATCAATCAAAACTGATGGGCACACTACACTGCTCACAATTCAGGGTCACATTTCATGCCTCCGATAACTGATCGTGAGCGAAGAATAAAACTAAAGTTCTCCGCAGTGCTCGTGGTTCCCAAACCTTTTATTTGCTACTGCACGCGAGTTGCTACATGCGACCACTGCGCATGTGTATATGCCGCTCAGTTTGCGAATTATATCGGCATGTAATGAAGCTTAATAAAGGCCCAATTCGAGCACAGTACCAGGAAGCATGCATAGCTGTCCATTCATAACTGTCAAGGTATGTGAATAGTCGAACCCGCTCGCTTGCAGACCCTGCTGTTCATCGACGTGCACGGCAACGGCGTCCGCTCTCCGCTGTGCGGCGGTGCACTCGTCACACCCCGGCACGTGCTCACGGCCGCGCACTGCACCTTCAGCGGGAACCGGTCGCTCACTCCGGACGCCTTCGTCGCGCGGCTTGGCGAGCACGACTACCTGAGCAGCGACGACGGCGCCAGCCCCGTGGACGAGCCGGTGGTGCGCATAGACAGACACGCGGAGTTCAACCCGCGCACCTACCTGAACGACGTGGCCGTGCTCACGCTGCGGCGGCCCGTGCCCCTGAACAAGGACATCGCGCTCATATGTCTGCCGTATGGAACCCTACGCGACGACGCGTACGAGAGCCGCAGTGCCAACATCGCCGGCTGGGGCGAGCTCTACTACGGCGGACCGTCGAGCGCCACGTTGCAGGACACGCGCATACCAATTCAGAGCCTGGACACCTGCAAGGAGTCCTTCAAGCGCACCAGCATCACCTTCACCGACCACTACCTCTGCGCGGGCAGCCTGAAGGGAGACAAGGACGCCTGCAGGGTACGTACATACCTCTTAATATACCATACACGCTCAGCAAGGACTCTTGCAAACGCCAAGATTTCACAGTGTTCCTCATGCATTCGCCTAAGACGAGTCGAAGGCAAAAGTCATCTTGCTTTTTATCGTCCGATGTACTCAACTTCCTCATCCCGCCTACCTCCACCCGTAAAGTGGTTTAGCACTGTCTCCGTGATCGGCCATCCTTGACCAAACGACGATGACGTCACGTGCTGTGACGTCATAGTGACTCGCGTGATGACGTTATAAGTTTCCGCGATTCGTGGCGTCACGATGACGCCATGTGGTGATTTAGATTACTTTACTCATACTGACGCCGCCAACGCGGGATGCCGAAGTTATATTTTTCGCGTTTTATGAGGCATCTAAGGCGTTCGCCTTTATTGATTGCTGGACGACGTGAATACGTATTCCAATGAGCATTCCGCAACAACTACATTTCAATTGGTTCTCAAGTTGACTCTTTCTGGTAATTATGTGCTTGAGTGTCGTCGCGTTTGCAGAGACCAAGTAACTATGCCCCCCATTGGGTTGACTCGGCTAAGGAGACTGCTGTAAATCGGGCATCGGGTAAATCGTTTCGCGCAATATTCATCACAAAGCCGCACAACAATTCAACAGCACCCGTCCTACTGCGAATCAGCGAAGGGATTCGTGTTGCCTCACGAGGGCCTTGCGACCACGTAAGGCACCTGCTCGTCACCTGCTCGTCATGCACGCACTCGTCATTCCTCACTCGGAACCGAACATTTCTTGCTACTTATTTTATTTGCATCATTCTCAATTTTTCGCTCACAACCAATGACGCGGTCACCAACGCTGACATCATGATTTCCACGAAACGTGTTTTTTTTTTTCGAGATATATGTCCACCATTCGGGACGAAATGAAACGACGACGACTGTGGGCCTGTTAGGCATCTTCATCTACGCAACGCATCCTTTGTTTGCGGGTGTGGTCGAAATATTGTTAAAAGGCCGCGTCACAAATCTCTCGCTAAAAGAGGGCTCACTTATCAAAAGATTCAGATAGTGTTTACTAGCATGAAAAATGTGGGTTTCTCGATAGTGATTCATTGCGAACACCACACCTTAATATCAAAAAAGGAAGAGGAGATCAACGCGAATTTTATTTCGTATTGAACCATATTCTGTATAGTTCTACTTCCTATTTTGCCCCAAATCCGGCTGAAATAATTTGGACCATCTCCACGAAAGAAACCCTGATGGGATGCGAAGCGGCAGTGGTGCGCATGGCGTTGAGCCGGTTAAAACAGGCGTTGACACGAGTGCTGAAAGAACAGTTCGAGGCGGAAGTAGATGTAACGTTTACTCCAGTAAACGTTTGTTTAAAACGGAAAGCCCCGGGAGGCGCGTTAGGTTTCATATAAGTTTCATCGCAGATAAACTAGCCGAAATAGTCGAGCGTTGCGCGTAATGGAAAGGGTGAAGCGAGAGAGAAATGTGTTGCGAACACTCGGAGGGGCCAACAGCTGCTGAGGGAAAGAGAGAAAGTGACGTCAATGCGCAGCTGCGACTGCACCTACTAGGCACCGCTCCAACACCTGTAGCAAGGGGGTTGGTGCGGACGTACGGGACAGCGTTACACAGGCAAGTCAAAGAGCTGCTTTGCTTCTAAAATGAATAATTTCGCTCTCTCTCTTTTTAGATGCTCTCTGTGTGCGAGAAAGGTCTGTTGGCAAGTCACAGAGACAGTCAGAACATACCACGCCGCCTTGTCAGGGTACACGATGTATTACAGCAAGGCACACGCGCTAAAAACAGTTGTGCATGCTAATCTGTATACATGGGGGCACTATTTCCATGCAGGGTGACTCTGGAGGACCGCTAATGCTGCTGGACGAGCAACAGCGGTTCACCATCATCGGCATCACATCGTTCGGGCGCCGCTGTGCGGAACCCGGATATCCTGGCGTGTACACGAGAGTAGCCAAGTACCTCGACTGGATCCAGCAAAGGCTCGTCTGAACGCCCCGCTGGGGGTGCCCCCTGTAAATAAACCCGCTGCGTCACCACTCGTCCCTGCCTTGCGTGTATTCTCCACTTCCTAACGCCTTTCTTCCCCTCTCCCAGTGCAGGGTTGCCAACCATGCTCAGCACTGGTTAACCTCCCCCTCCTTTATAGCTAGTTTGTTGAAGTTATCCGCGTCGGCGGACATGCAAAAATGCAATGTAAATATTGATTAAATTTGGTTTATATAAACTCTTTTGATTAACTTCATGGCTATTTTACGGGTCATTTATCGAACGTCGTATACGCACTAAGACACCGGTGAACGTGAAAACGCCATTCTGAAGGAGCCTTCACCGTTACTTGTACCTACGCTAAGAAAGTTACGTGGAGCAGCTGTCGACGATAGTAACGCATCAATATCCATGTACTTTCTACATTACAACAATCCACTTTGATACAATCGGCGCGACAGGCTTCGCAAAGAGATGGCCCTAAACAGGTTGCGTAAGTGTTCGTGGTAAACGGACGTGTCATCGACGGTGCAGTTCGTGGGCTATCTGAAAAAGAAAGAATTTATTTTAATGAATAATGCAGGTCTTTAGCGAGGACGCACACATAAACAGCGCAATCTCACAGACTGGAAAGGTGAACGAAAAGACAAGCACAATGTACAAGCATCGTAAACAACAACAAAAACAAGACATACGCAAAAATTCACCACAACACGCACCCTACAAACGTATCTCGTTGATATCCACGTGTCTCGCAGAGGTCTTCGGTGAGCGGAGAACGCAAGTGACGCCATGGCCTCATCTATATGAACTCAATATTACACATTAGCACATATTTTCAATGAGAAATATATTCGTCCTTAGGCTCCCTTTCTCCACGCATACAAAGAAAAAAATCTTTACGAACAACAACGGGACGGAAAGAGACGAAAAGACAGAGCACACGCATTCAAGCTCAATTTCTTTTTGACACGTCCTTTCTCAAAATAATGAGCCCGTGCCAACTCTGTCATTTCTTGGTCCAACTTTTATTTTTTAAAAGTTACCGCATATCCACGGAGTAAATGATGATGAGTGGGGTGAAACGTCCGTCAGCCCGTCCGTGCTTCCGTCAGTCCGTTCGTTCTTGCTTCCGTCCGTCCGCGTGACCATCCGTGCGTACATCCGTCCGTACGTCCGCGCGTCCGTCTATCTGTCCGTCCGTCTTCAAGTCTGTCTGTCCATCTGTCCGTACGTGCGTCCATCTAGCGAACACTCCAAGTACCGCCATCTCGCATCCCCTGTGGCACATACCCGCTCCGCGCGTCCATCCATGCGTCCGTCCGTCTGCTAGTCTGCCTGTTCGTCCGTCCATGCGTCCGTCCGTGCGTCCATCTAGTGAACTCTCCAAGTACGGCTGTCTCCTATCTCGCATCCCGGTGGCTACATACGACAGCGATGAAGGATGGACAGACCCACGCCGTGAGAAGCTTCGCCCCTAAAACACCTGCGTCTATTTTATTTTAGTAAAGAAGACCAGCCCTTGCCAGAGCCCTGTCTTTGCAGAAAATATAGTCATTCAAGACTGCGCAAGTGTAAATATTTTTAATTGCAAGGGCAGAATTACTCAGCGACACCCCCCCCCCCCCCTGCACACACTTCGATTAAACACATAAAACTCCCAAGCGTAGGCCGCTAATGTACACTATCGTTTTTATTATTCTATATCCTTCTTACGTTGTGGTATCATTTGCGCACTCTCAAGCCATATATATGTACCCATAGTAACGTCCGGCGGTTCTTTTTTTTTGTGAATAAAACACAAACGAACAAGCAGCATTTTATTGCGTTTCTTGATGCACGGAATGTTCTTTAGTGAAGTTAGATCGCTTACCAGTTATTAATTGTAGGTGGTCCGTCTGATGTCATCGGGATCATTGTGAGAATGTCCTACTGCGGCGCATGTGTTCTTGCGCATTTACCTTAATTTCTTGGTAAGTAGGGCACTGTTGATAATATTGCCGTTTTAGATGTTGTCATACATTGAAGTTTCACTCTGACGTAAATTGTTATTTGAATTCAGTGTCCCTTTAAACACTTTTTATTGTTGGACCAACGGCGACAAAACGGTCGACAGATTACCATAAACGAGACCACCTTCTACAAACTTTCTCATTTCGACTTTTCTGTGCATCTTTTTTTTATTTAACTTCTTTCAAAAGCACGTCGACCTTTCTCAGACATAAAGGTCACCGATTCTACATCATCAAAGCGTCATCAACGCGCATATGGCCCGCGTAAGAGCATATGCGACCGTAATGCGACTTTGTGCACCATGAACGTTTGTGATTCTATAAGCATTAAAGAACGTGAGAAAACGCTCACTCTAGAAATAATGTTTATTAGAATCCACGAAAAGAAAGGTTTGCCATGCTCCCAGGCAGCCTGACGTACAAAGTCTATGCAGATTTACTTAAATGCAAAGATTTTGAGAAATTTTGTGCGCCGCATGGTGATGATTATTATTGTCGAGATGGTGGGGTGGTGGTGGTGGTGATGAATCAGTGATTTGGCTATTCCGATGTTAGAGCTCATAATCATCTATTGATCTAGAAAGCAAACAATAGGTCAAGACTCTGACAACCCATTATTTACTCGACTAAACGAATGCCGAGCCCTCTTGTTAAATGCCTGCTCTACACAAAAATAGAAACTTATGTTTAAAAAATCGAGCTGTGGCTCAGAACTGTCCCGGTTCTTTCCTCTGTGTGTTCGTTTTGTAACAAAGATTAATCAATGGAACACCATTTTTTATCATGCATCCACCTTCCGTTGGCTCAGAAAAAGACACTCAAATCAGCATTTAGTTGAACTGCTTTGGACTGAACTACATCAAATATTCTATCATTATGAGGTTTCTCATTAGAGCACTGGCACAGGGCCGTGAGTACCAGTGTTGAAAAATATTTAATTTAATTAGCACTCCCTTCACTCGAAGTTCGTAAATTAACCTTATTAACTTAAATTCCTTATTCTAAAGTTTCTCATTTTCTATCCAGCCCTCTAAGGCTTACGTGAACCAATATGTACGTCATCATCACTATAATCATCTTCTTCATTTGCACCAGAGCAGAAAATTAAAGTTTAGCCGCCAACCCCGAAAACAGGCTGAATAGCAAAAGAAGGGTGTTCGCTTTCAAGTTGCTTTTTTGAACATGCGAAAATCGGCTTATACCGTCGCGAGGGCGACCGGGTTTTAAAAAAAAAACGTTAAAACTGCACAGGCAAAGACACTGCGAGATTCAGCTCGCAATATTCCTGCGATGTGCGGCTCACAGGGCAGTCCATTACGTGCACGGGGTAAGCCCTGTGCCGGCAAGAAGCGGACGTCGAGGTCACCCAGGAAAAATCCCCGAAAAACCAGTCACATATGCGAGGTTGAGAAACGACGTATACACACCACGACACAGCGCGTTCCCATTTAAATGGAAATTTCTGCTCGATGGTGTCTCACATGTCTTGCCTACGGCGAGTATATAGAGACAACGCTGCGAAGCAGACCAACGTCCGAGGTCGTGCTGCTCTAAATATAAATTTTACAGCCCTCCGAAAGAGTGTCTCATATTCTAATAACTATATATATATATAGTCATATACAATCCGTGCACCCCCTCAGCACTACTCTTCTTTTTGCGATTTGTATTTGGATTTTTCCATTATCTTCTATCAGTATTTCCGTTTTCTAGGCTATCAAAGCGTTCGCGTAGCAATCCAGGCAAGTTCTTGGTAAACATCCTTGACTTCACCATTTCTTTTATTCCAGTATGGCCATTATATATTATAGCGGTTTTAAGTCCCTAAACCATAATATGATCATTAAAGATGGCAGAGTGGGAGGCTCTACAAATTCGGATCACCCGGGGCTGCTTAACGTGCACCTAAATCCAGGAACGCGGAAGATAATAATAATACCAATCAATCCGTCGCAAAATGACGGTCCCACACTCGCATGTATACCATTTCGGAAATCTCGTCTATCCAAACTCGCTTTTTTTTCGCACGCCCACTTTTCTCTTTGCTTTCCTTTTCATGTTTCTTCCTCCTCTCCTTAGTGCAGGGTAGCAAATCGTATGCTGCAATCCTGGTTGCCCTTCCTGCCTTTCTCTCAATTCATTCTTTTTCTCTCTGTCTGCGTCCATTATAATATGATCAAAACAACTTTCCATGTTGGTTCGCGACTGCTCAAGTAAAACTATTGCGCCAAACAAACACAAGGACCGATGGCGAAATGGTGCCAGTCCCATGTTTTTGTCCGTCTTTGTGTTGGTATTGCGCTACAATTCTTTTAACAAGTCAAGCATTATGTCCTCCAATTCAATGAGGGACATTACTTAATTTAATATAGTACCCACACCGTTTCTTTGTTCTGCTCTCCCCAACTTTATTCGATTTATTTACTCACGGGTGTTCGACCATCTTTCCGCGAATCCAGGGTAGGTAGGCAGCCACCCTAGTGTACACGCCCGGGAAGCGAGAGTCACCGCAGCGCACGCCGAATGAAGTGACGCCGACCAGCGAGAAGCGGTCGCTTAGCGGATCGCTCACGACCAGCGGACCTCCGGAATCGCCCTGCGAAACAGCGCCCAACGCGATCATGGGCACTAGTTGGTCATTCCAACTATCGTGCATAATAGCAGCGCAATATGTTGAGCAGTGGACACATGTAGACAGGAGAAGCACTTTGTCCTGGCTGTATGCGTCAGTTTCGCAATGACATCGTACAGCAAGCGCGATATTATGTTGCGAATACAAGGAAAGGAAGGTTCTCCAGAAATGCACAAGAAAACCGTGCCCAGCACATAGATTTATCACCCGGATATAGCTTATTTCCTCCCGCAGTTATCCTCCGACGTGCTTTCGTGAGTGAGAGACTAACTGTTGCTGGCATTTCCAAAGGGTAATTCTATGTGATAGCTCTTTTCTCGGACTGACCTGCATTCTGCGTACCCTAACAAAAAAAAAGCATCTCTGAATGCATGCCTGATTCTAGAACCGGGAACGCAGTTCAACGATATGAACTGCTGCATTACGGCCAATGTGAAATGGCATGCCGTGGTATAGAGACGTATACGAAATAGCTGTGTTGACCTTCGGTACGTTTGTGCATCTGCATTGTATTTCACAGTTATCAAAGTTCAGTTGACCTAGATGTTCAGGAACTTTATATAAATACGCCACTAACACAGTTGTAAAATTACCGTCGCTAGTCAAGAAGCGCAACATGTGATAGATGAGTCTGTGCGTACTACTGCGTAACAGCACAATTATGGCGGCTAGCACAACACTAGCGACTCGCTGTAAAATGCGTTTGAGTCATGTACCAAAGATCGATTAATTATGACACGTTCCAGCTGTTAGTTACCGCTGTGCTCGTGCACACCACCGCAGAGAACCACACACACACACACACACAGCAAGCTACCGCACGGCCTAATTCAGCTGTCATTCCGTATCACCCGTGAAGAACAGCCTAACTGCAAAACAACGGCGTGCTTTGTCAGCACTTGTGTTGCGTCAACCATAGCTAAAGCTTACTTTCGCTGCGCAGCGACATGGCAAAAGCTGCTGTCGCTTGCACCTTCTTGTGTTCATGATTTAGCGAACTATCTCTAGCAGTAAGATGGCAAGTTCGGCCAGTTGGTTGAGATTCATCGTGAACTTAGTTTACAGCGCAACACTAAAAACACAGACACAAGGGAAGAATTCTCCCGTTATTCAGGCAGCATAGTATACACCTAGCCTCTACTTACGAAGTTCTGAAAACTAACGAACTAGAGTTTCTAAACCTTAGACTAACCTTTGGGGATAATCGCACGTGTGTGTTGGAGATAGGCCTGTTAAGCCCTTCCTAAATTTGAAATCATGCCCCGCCGTGGTTTTCTAGTGGTTAAGGTACTCGGCTGCTGACCCGCAGGTCGCGGGATCGAATCCCGGCTGCGGCGGCTGCATTTCCGATGGAGGCGGAAATGGTGTAGGCCCGTGTGCTCAGATTTGGCTGCACGTTAAAGAACCCCAGGTGGTCGAAATTTCTGGAGCCCTCCACTACGGTGTCTCTCATAATCATATGGTGGTTTTGGGACGTTAAGCCCCACATATCAATCAAATCAATCAATTAAATTTGAAATCCGGTCATTCTAAGGTCGTCAAAAGAGCCACTGCGAAGACCATCTTAAATGCACCTCTGAAGAAATCGTGCGTCCACGTGGCCGAATCCGCTTTTCGTGATCAGGTAAATCGCCTAATGGACGCGGGTTACCCTGATGCCGTAGTTTGATCTGTATGCGAACGTATCGTTCGTGATGTCAAACACATACAAAATAAAGGAGTTAATACTAAGTCTGATGAAAAAGAAAAAAATGTCCAGTGTTTGCTTGCGTATAATTCACGAACTTAAGAATGTAGGTTTTAGGCTGCCTCGTCCGATGTTCTTTTTTCTGTGAAACACAGGATCTTCGTGGTGATTGACAATGTACTGAAGGACAAGCAGGCTAAAGGCAAGTGCACCGTTAATCATAGGAACAAGAATCATTGCCTGTGTTAGAGTTGTGTATGTCATTCCATTATCATGTGGTGGGGAGTACGTAGGGCAAACGAAGTGCACATGATATGTTAATGTTCGTCTGAGAGAGCATGAGCTCTCACTTCAAGTGATTGCGCAACTTAATCTGCCGGATCACCGCCAGGTCATGTGGCTGTCGTCGTATCCTTAACGAAACCACCGCCATTTTTAAACACACGAACCAATTGACAAGGGAAATTACTCAGGCATAAAACATATCGATTAGAAGCAAAAGCTGTATAAGTGACGCGTCCGTTTTTTTTTTGTTTTTTTTGCGTCAGAAGAAATTTTATCTGTGTGTCGATCTTGAATATCTGTGTTTGTGACGACGCTACCGGAACGTTTCCTGTGTATTGCGCATGTCACGGTTCTGCACACTTGCATATATATATATATATATATATATATATATATATATATATATATATATATATATATATATATATATATATATATAAATATATATATATATATAGAGAGAAATAGAAAGAGAGAGAGAGAGAGAATTTCCACCCCTGTTTTGCGTTACCCGTGCTTCAAAAAGCCGAACAACGCTAATTGAAATAGATAGTTCAACTATACTTTGTGCATGTCCGTGTGTGCGTTTAGCTTGAACAACGACTCTAATAAACGGATCTTGCAAGCGAACGAGCAGCGCCCTCGAGCAATGCGCAGTATAGACAGACCTGCCACGTCACAGGAGATGATGACCCACTATTGCATTCGTTCCTCTTCACTTCCATATTATTTGCTAAATCTGGCAGTGACGCAATTGAGTGAGTCCAGAAAAAATTCATAAGCATTTACAACCATCGTTTTGCTAGAAAGCCTCTGGATCTCGTGCAAACACTGCCAGATTATTATCATTGCCATCACTTCACTGCTGACGAAAACGCGGTGATTTCTTATTTCTTTACGAATTAGTTCACGGTATGACATTCTGCTCCTTGCTTCTCAGTTAGGTGAATTTTTAGATTCTGCGAAAGTTAACCAGAGAGAATCGACCATTTGAGGTACCTGCCAACTGCTTTCAGAGCTAGTTTGCATGTGCGCGTGCATATATGCACATGCACAACACAAGTGGGAAATTTTGGGGTGTTTCAACCTGCTACCCTTGGCTAGGCCACTGCACTTTTAGTACACGTCCCTGGTATCATGAAACAGTTGTGCCCTTAACCTAGCGTACATTCAAACGCCGCCAGCAGTGAGGAACCGCTGTTCGATGTAGTACATGCATCAAGCATCACACTTACCTGGCAGGTATCCACGCCATCCCCTGCGGCGCACAGCTTCTCCTCAGTGATGTCCAGCAGGCCCAAGTAGGCCTCTTCGCACTGGTCGCGCTTCAGCGTCCGCACCATCGCTTCGCGGTGTTCTGGACTGTCCTCTACCACTGTCCCCCGTTGCTCTGTCTGATCCCGAGGCCCCGTGGAACCCCAACCAGAGACCAGGGCCGTGCTGTCCTCGTGGCCTTCTGCGTTGACTTCTGGCAAGCACACCATTTCGGCACGGGCAATAGCAGCCGGTCGCTCTAGCACCAGAAGTGCCAGGTCGTGGCGCAGTTCGGACGCGTCGAAACCCTCGTGCACGAGCACATGCTGAGGAGCATGCTCGACACCTTCTGCCAGCCGAAGCCGCAGGTCGGGCCTGCGTGCTTCGCCCAGTCACGATTTTGGTCATGAGCATACAGAGGCCGGCACATATTTTTAAGTGCTGTGACGTTCGGTCGCTGGTCACAATGCCACGGCTTACAAGCACGACAGCTACAGCCACGTGCAGGCACATGGGAGTGGAGTGCAAAAGTATTGTATCTTCCAGTATCAGGCTTTGAGCATACGTTAAATAATCTCGTGGCCGACGAAAAGTTATCTGGAGATCTCCGCTGCACTCTATTCTATCTATATTGTACCTGTGTTGCTTTGGGGCCTTTAAGTTTATCAGTCAAACAAGCCGCCGTTTTTGCCGCAGGCATACAGAAGTATGGACCTACTTCCCTCTCCATTGGGGACGTCTTGACCCATGCAAAAACGCTGCAACCTTTAATGACATCGGCTAGAAGCAAAGACTAGCGATACGATGACGGGCGTCACCCCGGCTTTCCAAACACGAGATTGCACCGATAAGGCTGATAGTGCATATGCATCTCTAAGTTAACAGCGTAGCATAAGGCGGCAGCACTCTAGTGCGCTCTCTGTGTTGCACATCACGTAAGAAGTGTCTTTACTTTTCGCCTATATTAGGCACTGCCATGCATGTACAGCTCTATTAAATATTGTAAGGGTACACCTGCTTGCTTTTTCGTGGACGGGGTACCTATAACGATAGTTAGCTCAAGCCGGTACGCACCTGTGCTGCTGGACGCAATGGGCAGCAGTGAGCACGTGCCGCGGAGAGACGAGCGCACCGGCGCAGATGTGCTTGCGGCCGCGCAGCAGCTGCACCATCCAGGGCGCCGGATCGGCGGCCACACCACCCACCACTCGGCCTCCTCGCCGCGACCACATGCCACAATCGTCACTACCTGTCACAGCAGAATGTTGCGTTTGTTTAAAGATAACAGCCTTTCTCGGGATACTTCAATGCAGAAATTTTGGTCTGTCACTCAGAACGATTCATTCGCTCGGCAAATTTGAGCGATTTCTCAGTACCCAGCCATTTTGATCTGATGGTTGCTTTCGTACTTGGGAACATTGTCGATCAAAAAAAAAAACAAATATTACGCACATGTGAGGCGCAACATGCATACGTGAATGTGAAACGATGTGTTTCTTTATAGAAAATGCATGAATGCGTAAATCTAAAGACCCTAGTGATCTTACATTGCGTTGACAATGAGATGTCATGCACGAAAAAGCGGTTGTTTCCTATGCTTGAAGCTAGGACGATACGGTGCTGCCACCTACCAGTGGCTCTGCGTTCTACACAAGCTTCTGTTTCCCGAAATTACTGCCAGATGGCGTCCATATCCCATGCAGTCACTCTAGACAGATACATGGGCTGCTACTCGCTGACTGCACCACACAGCATCGACTCCTACAATGCGTGCAATACGCCTAATCTTTTTCATTGACATGCTTTACTTACCTAGTTAAACCACGCATCAGACATGAAAGCTAATGCTGGCACAGGAGGCTTTAGTTAAGCCCATGAATTCAATTCACGAAGGTCAATAATGATTCTCAGGCGGTAGAAAATATTGTTCAACACTATAGGTCTCCTGGGAAGCTGGAGTTAGGAATTTTTTCGCCAAAGCTTTTTTTTTTTCTGGACGAGCAATACTGTGTCGGGATCACTTAGTGTTTTCATCTGCACTTTCGTGTTCTGAAAACCAGTCGCTACACGGTTGAAGATTAGCTTGTCACAGGCTCAGAGGTCGCTTCAGCTGTTTGCCAACCCAACATATCCTGCCCACAAAACTCCTTTTGAGGGACATTTTTAACGGAATGTTTCACTTGTGACAGGTGTATTTTCTCAATGTTAGAAACCTGAAATGAAAATAAGAGGGCACAAATGGCCCCTTGTGAAATAACTGCCAAACAGGATGGTCAGAACCCGTTTTCAATGTACGGGGACCTAAGTTAAGCTCTTAACGATATCCCGGGCGGGCCTCACAGGCTGGGGGCTCCGCTTCCTCTGAAGCCTTGGGCTCCCGTACTCTCAGCATATATGATTGGCGGTCTTCAGAACTCAGCAACTTCTGCACGTTTTTGTCATCAGTAGCGAGATGGCGCGAGAGTCACACGGCGCTCTGACGGTGGAAGCTTCGCGCCACACCACTCATTGCGATGCGTGCGCGCCTCCACATAGAGGGGTCAAAGTCCGTACGGATGTTCTCGGGCGTGGTCGCTCACTCGCGAACGCGCTGATCTCGAGATTCGGACACTTTGTTCCTCTTGTGCGTCCACCGAAAGTTTGCTTTGAAGTTACAGTGGTTAAAGAAAGCGGAAAGGTCGTTTCACTCGCTGCCGCGGCCGCGTTTACAAAAAGAGCGCGTTGCTCAAACACGAAGAAGTAAGAATTGTGACAGTTGATCACACTCTATCGTCCATGTGTATACTTGAGTTCGTTTTGTGCGTCTTTCTTTTTGCTTGAGCAGCGTGTTTTAAGCGTCGAGCTGCGACAGTTGTTTATCCGTGCTCGTCCAGAGTGTGTTCATTTCGTGCGTTAGTGTGCTTGAGGTGCGTGCTGCAAGTTTCGAGCAGCTTGTCGTGTTTAGCGTGACATTGCATTGCTGCTGTAGCATTCGTTATTTCGCCCTTGTGGCGAAACAACACATAATAAGCGCTCAACTAACCCTGTGAAGGCGCGTTTCACTTTCGTGTTATACCAATTTTTGAAGAAAGGGATCAGCGAGGTTTTTTTTTCAACCATTACTTTGAATTATTCTAGTTAATCGATTTGCCGAAAATTGTTGCTCTCTGCGTCTTCTGTCCATGGACGCAATCAGACAAAGCCAAGCCATATACAGCTTCACTGTGAAAAAAATATTGATAACAATAATAATAATCATTAAAACAAGAAGACATTAACTATTAGGCTATATAGTTTCTTCCTTATGACGCTCTGCTCACGTGAGTTCATCATCCCCACCACTCCGCGGTAGCCGTGGTGCGTAATGAGGAAGAAAATGGCACAGCTGTCCTACCTATTTCCATCAAGGGGCTCCCCCTCGAAGTCGAAGCCAGAGCCAGCAGTACCAGCTGTGATAGCAAATGAAGTGGCTCAGATCTGCAATAACAGAGAAGATCGATTCGTCGCTAGCGTTAGTGGTGGTGCCGAGGATGGCTGTCATGTGTAGTGATTGAAGAGAACCAACGATGACGCATGCATCGTGCAGCACTCGATCATACGGAAACTCACACCACGAAACAGCCTCCGGTATAAATAGCGTGACCGTGCATTGTAGGTTCCCAGCTACCGCGTCGAGTATAGTATATATAAATAGTATGTTTCGTTACGTGCCCTCTAGAGGGCACTTACGGCACTTTTAGCCACCAACAAGCCAAAACACTTCACATACCTTTGGGGAACTCGCTGTGGAACTTAGGAACTCGTTGAAAAAGAGGAAGCAAGGTTTCTCACACTGATTACAACCACCGTTTTCCCTTAGACCCCTGCTTGTGGTAATAACTGCAACGTTTCAGGTGTTTCTGAGCTATTAAGGGGTACTTTCAGATACTTTTCTTGTGTTCTTGTACTCAGTTATATACATTTATTCACCTGCATGCACTTCTGTGACAACATAGAACTCTTTTTTTTTTTGCCAACACAAACATACCAGCGTGTCAGCGAAAAAAAAATCACAATTTCTTATTTTTGATGAAAAAATAAAGCCTTATACCTTTATGACCCGTTGCAACAATACGTGTTAGTAGCACGTACATGATCACTTTCGGGTTCATAGATATACTCAGTATATTGTGGCAAAAAAAGTTAGAGCTAGTTGTTTAAACGACCTCTGCAAAAACGATCAAAACAAAAAGGGAGTCACTGGAAGTTTCATTGTTTATCGGAAACTATAGGCAATGGATTGCCGCGCCGGATCGAAACTCACATGGTTGCGTTTCCATTCATAGGCCGTGATAGAGCGAAATAACAACAGGCTGCCGGAACGAAATTTGTTTCGTTCCGGTTTATGTGTGGCCGCATTACGATGACCTTCCCCTCGCGGGGTTAGGATAGTGTTGTGATCGGCCCCCATGTCTGGGCGCCGCTTGGACGCGTGGAATGGTTCCGGCTTCGCAGCGCGTCCTGAGACGTCCAGAATCGGCAACAACACAGCAGTAGTACTGCGAATTCCTTGGAGTCGTCGGCTCGTCTTGCCAAAAAGCCCTTTGGGCACGCACGACCGACAGATTACCGGGGGGGGGGGCTGTTCGCTGTCTGGGCTGCCTAGAGGGAGTGGTCATTGCTTGGGTCGTCAACATTCAGCGGACAATGAGCCGAGCGCTTTGTATTCATCTTCGGGGACATTCCTCACGTTCCATGGCGCCTTTCCCGAGCGATGTTTCCTCGAAGAGTCATCTCGGCGCGTCCGACTCCCCGTTCTCGCACTGTGCCAGTGGTGTCGTGTATTGTGTGTGTTACACCCTCGCCGGGCAGCGAACTGGGCGGGCCTCTCCTCCCTTCCCAGGTTGGGAAGGAGGCGGTGTGACTTTCTCTCTTCGGGGGCATAAAAACGCGAGCGCAGGACGCTCGGGGAGAGAGCTTCCTTCCATCATCTAGTATGATGCTTACTCCATGTAACACGCTACCTTCAACATCATGTAAAATAGTGTAAATAAATCGTTCAAGTTATCAGCTCCGGCTCCTCGGCCCGTCTTCGCCCTGACCCTTGGATGGCTCAAGGCCCGACAAATTCCCCCAGTCACAACAGTGGATGGCAGCGGTGAGATGATCTGCGCAGGAATTCGACTCCGGCTTGGTGAGTGCACGACCTTTTCTCCTTGAGAGTTGCCAGGCTTAAATTAGTTCTTCCTGGTAACAAGAGTGTTGGAAGCCTGTTCACGGGAACCTTGCTTCAACGCTTTCCCTTGAGAAACTTGTCGGCAGAAAAGTAGCAGCCATGGCTTGGAGAAAGTTGCACAGATCGGACCTAGACGTGATATGCGGGGAATTCGGGATTGATTGCGGGAAACATCTTAAAAAGGCGGAAGTCATCAGGGCTATGGAGGCAAGCAGAGATGACGAGGAGATCGTGGAGTTGTGGGAGGATATAAAAAAAAAAGGGAAGATCAGGAGCGCGAGCGCCATAAAGAAGAGCAGGAACGCGTGCGCGAGCGCAAGCACGAACTGGATAAGAAGCGCCTAGACTTAGAAATAGCTCGGGCAACTACCTCAGGAGGCGCAACACTCAATGCTCCAGTAAGCAAGGCACCAAAAATAAAAGACCTCCTGAATCCTTTTAAGATGGGAGAGGATATCGGGTTATTTTTGGTCAATTTTGAGAGAAGTTGCGAAGGCAAGTTTGAGCGTGAGTTATGGGCACAAATGCTCTTGACCGTGCTTCCATGCGAGGCAGCGGATGTACTGGCTCGTTTGCCGCGAGATGAGGCGAATGACTACGATATTGTAAAGCGTGCGCTACTAAAGAGGTATCGGCTGTCTGCTGAAGCTTTCCGACGACGTTTCAGAAATAGTAGCAAACGTAGCAGTGAATCATTTGCCGATTTTGCATACAGTCTGAGGTGCAATCTCACCGAGTGGCTTAAGGGCGAGGGAGCTTTTGGAGACCATGACAAGGTAGTCGAGTTGATTTGCACGGAGCAATTCCTGAACGTTCTAAGTGACGAAGCACGCTTATGGGTATTAGATCAGCCCGGGGAAAAGAATTTGGAGCGTACCGCAGAACTGGCTGAAGAGTACACCATGAGGCGTGAGGAAATAAGAGAGCGCAACAAACCCGCAAAGAAACCATACCGTGAGAATTCTAAGCAGTCTGAGCGCAACAGTTATGC